AGCAGGAAAAAGATTAAGGGAAGCTGGTCCCTGGTGCTTACTCAGCTTGGGGAGACAGCAGCAGGCCTCATCTCAGAAATAAGAATTTCAGTGTGCTGTACCTTGGCAGCTTCTTCAGATTGGCCCAGATGCAGAAAGTAACATTTTTATCCTTTATGACTACCTGCATATTTCCAGTTTCAGAGTCTTTATACATATTAGCTGTCTACAAAGAAAAAAAAAAAGCCAATTAAATGTTTTATTTTTAATTTATATCACTTTGATTTACATACATTTACACCTGAATAAATAAATACATGTAGGAATAAAAATGCACCAGACCAAGCTCAGGTATGTTGTATTTATGTACTAAAACATGATAGTTAGAAACTCAAATCTCTGTTAAATTTGAATTATTCTCTTTTTCTTCCTCTGACTTCAATTCTGCCAGACAAATATTGCCAAATATGGGGTCTTTCATTACGCCCTTCAGTGGTACTGCCTCTCTCCCCTAATCACGTGCCTTCAAAAAACTTCTCAGGACAAGTTAAAGAAAAAGGACAGGACTTACTGAGCACTACAGCACTCCTATCCCACAGTCATTGTGTAGATTAATTAATCATTTTCTCAATACAAACCTTGTGAAATGATAATTACATTAGGTGTTCAATCCTAAACTCAGTAAAGACAAGCAAGAATTTAACATTTCTCCATTACCAGAGGGTTTGACTGTGAACATACAACTGGTTCACTATTTATTTCCTTTGCTCCTTTTCCTTCCTTTGTTTCCTCTAGCAATATTCTTTTCTTAAACATACTTACATATGTGATTAACATACTTAAAATAGCAAGCAAGATCTAAAAATCTAATCTTAAATGTCTTAATGATGGGAATTTTCACTGCAAAGCTCAGTTCTGCAGGGGTTTTGAAGAAACACAAGTCTGGTACCTGCTAAACACATGATCTGGAAACTCAAATACTAAATGTGGAAACTGAAACACTGATCTCAGTGACAATTTAAAAGCAAACAAAATCAACCACCACAAGACACCTACAGTTAACTTCATGTACACTGTGCATATTACAACCTCAAAGTAGTAATTCCTACTTACTTTCAGCAGGCGTTCTGTTGCTCCATCATACTTCTGATGAAGCAGGGTCTGCAGTTCCAGAATAGATTCCTGGTACTGGACTCTTTCTTTTTCTGTTATTTCATTTGGTGGTGTGTCCAATAAAAGAAACTGCAGCTTCTCAATTAACTAGAAGACATTATATGTGGGGAAAGTAACTTTGTTTTGACACCTCTCTTAATACACTCTATGTTATGCTATTAAAAAATAGGCAAACTTGCTTCCTTTGTACCTAAACATATCTTGGTAGCAGGAATAATATTTTCCTATTTTATCTCTAGAAATTGTGCTGAGCCAGCACTATCAGACAGACAACCATGCAAAATGCTGGAAATTCCAGTTCCAAGTCTGCCTTCCTTCACTGCTTTAGTCCAACTCCTTCACTCCTTAACCTGTGAGCTGTGAGATATTAGTTTATTAAAGAGATCATTTATTGAACCAGATTAGTCACATGAAGAAGCCTTTTGGTCAAAAATTAATTTTAATGAAAAGATACAGCTTTATTTTGGAGCCATATTTTCTATATTAGTGCTGTCAACCATGAAACCTTAAAAATAAAAATTAAAATAGGAAAAGACAAGCAGCAGTTATGGTTCAATTCTCAGAACAAGCCTTTCTGTGAAGTTTGGAATTCTGTCATAAGGTTGTTATCTTCCTCTACTAGTTAATATCTTAAAATTTAAGTGCTTGTATAGAATGAAAAGATCCCTAGCTGGCCAAAGTGACCTGCAAGATGAAGGGAGGGTCTGATTATATTTTATACCTCCCTCCTCGACTTGCCAGAGTCTCCTTGGAATATCAGAGCACAGTATAGAAACACTACACTCAAATCCCTTAAATGCACAGCATTTAAGTCAATACTCATCTTCTTTAGAGTTAATAATAAATCTGTAATGTAAAAAAGCTTCTGGGCTTCGAAGGTTACAGACAGTTTCAGTCATTTGTCCACCAGAAGAGAATAAGGAAAAAGAGGAAGTGGGAGAGGAATGTTAAGGATAGGGGAAGCTCAAATTGACAAATATCATTTTAACACTTACCTTCAGTACCTGTTCTCCCTTCTCCATCACAAGCTGAACGTCCTCATTTTGATCTTCACGCCACAAACTCATGAAAGTGTTTATGTCCTGCAGTACAGTGGGGTCAGGACTTTCATCACAACTGAGATACTGCTCCCACTACAGAAAATGTTCAAAGAAAAGCAGAAATGGGCACGTGGTGCAAAGGACTATCATTGGTACAAGAAAAGGGAGGACTGAGAAGGACAAATATAGTGACACGTTCACACCTGCACCTCAGCATTGACTGTATCACCACCTGGCTTACTACTACACCAGAAAAAAAGGGTTTACTTTGATATTAAAGTGTTAAGATACTTCTGTCCAGCTAACGTTTGCTGGTTATACTCACTCAGGTATCTGTTCTGCTAGCTAGAGCCTGCATGTCTACAAAAGCAATGAATCCAATACCTGCCACAGAGAAGGGCCTGCAAGAATAAATGACTGAGAGCATGAACAAGGAGGTGGAAGAGGCAGGTGGTTCTCAAACCTGAGAGCAGGAACAAGGAGGTGGAAGAGGCAGGTGGTTCTCAAACCAGACACTGCAACAAACCTAAAAATTCCTACCCTTGCAATAAAGCTGCTTAAGAGCCTTCCAGTCCAACATGTTGATTCCTCCTTTCTCTGCCTCTGAAGGACATTTCCTCCTCCTTACCAGCACCAATGCAGCTGTTACAGAAACCTCTAGCAGGAATATGAAACCCTAGATAATTTGGTTTTATTCATTTTATTTTCAAATCAATCATTGGCCTTTCTTACAGGTCGGGGAAGGAAAAAAAATCAGTGACAGTTTAAACCCACTTAACTCTACACATGAGCCTAATATTGGCTCATGGGATGTATGTATCACATATAATAGGGGGTTTTTTTTGTATAGTAAGATATTAAGGAAACATTGCCTCCCTGTTTGCTGTGAAGATTAATAAAACGACGTTACTAAAGATTACATTACAATGTAAAATGGATGTTTGAAAGCAAAAGTGCTTTATAATTGCATTCCCAGCCAATTCCATAATCATTTCCACTGGTGTCAATAAAAATCAGTAAGAGGTGAGCACTCAGTGCACTGGGAACTCCTCTAGAAAAGATTGATCAGTCTCCAGCAATTAAAATATATGACTTCTTTTTTTACATCTTTGCACTTAAAAGAGAGAAAATCCTCGTGTCCACCAGTGTATTTAACCTTGCCTGGAACCAAACTGACCCAACCTCATACCAGACTGCTACTGGACAATGTTTCTGCCAGATGAACTTACAGGCTTGAAATGTTCTACACATTTCCACACTTTACTGTTTAAAATTTAGCTTTACAGGCATATAGTCCTGTTGAGTGATGATTCAACCACCATGTATGTCACCCTAAGCTGCACTCATTAACTCATAGCTGCAATTTCATATATTTCCAGCCCTGATATCTGACCCAGATTTGTGCCGTGTCCTTCAAAGTTTTGGCCAACATCTCTCCAAATGATGACCTGTGACAGCCACGAACCACTGGAACAATTGTCTCCACTTTAAGTCCTGGCAGAGCTTTTTTTATGGAGTGTTTGAAAGCAGAATGAATTGAACAAATAGAAAAGGAAGGACAAATCCCAAAACACCTGAAACTACAATTCCTCTTGACTGCTGGGTTAAGCTGTGGGGCTGCAATAGTTCAATCAGCCAGACAGGCTTCTCTTTGCTCATGTTTCTTTTCTGTCTGCACCAAAGTATAAAAGGTAGAGGAGAGGAAGTGTGCCCAGTCACTACCTTGAGGTGGCACTTGCAGTGCAGCCAGAGCACACACCTGAGATCAAGAAATGGAAGCACTCCTGGATCCCGTAATGGAGACACAGCCTAAAGTCTCTTCATTGTCAAAGCTCTATGACACTGGGCAGATTTTGGGAAGAAAACTTACTTTTGCTTGTGCTCTACAATCTCTTCTCCACTGCTGTGCAGACAAAAACTTCTGTTCCAGTGACTGAAGTTCTGCTAGCTCAGATGCCCGTCGTTCACGATCCTGTTAAAATACACACACACCAAACAGAGGAGTTAAATATATGGTTTGCTTAAAATTATTTTATAGAAAAGAAAAAAAATGGGATATTTGAATGAGTTATCATGTACACAAACCCCCAAAATAACTTGCATTTTTAGGAAACATGTATTTGAGAAGACTGCATTTGTTTGCAGTATGTTATTGTCATCACATTAGTTGCTGAGCCCTGTGATAAACTTAATGATGTGTCATATCATTGCCAACCTCTCACTTAAACAGTTTCCATGTCAGCATCCTGGAAATACCTCTAATGAGAGCTGTTAAAAAATGTAAGCATATGTTGGAAAAATGTGTGCAAGATGATGTTACTTTTTTCTTTATAATTTCCATTATTTTAAATTCCTCTTCTCCCTAGGGGACAACAAATATTCTGTGAAGGACAAGAGGCACAGGTAAGAGTGTCTGTGATCCAGGGAGAAATCCAAAAATTAAAAAAGAAAAAGGGATTATTTTTTTTTTGGTGGTAAATCATCTTTTTTTTTTTAAAGCACAAGACTATTTAGATCTCATCAAGCAGTCTTTGTTCTGAATTCCAGTCTTCTCAGAGCAGTAAACATATTCAAACCCACCCACATCCATCCATCCATGCACACTCACAAATCAATGCATCTGCCCCACCACTTCTACCAGAATATTCTTACTTCAACTCTACCAAATGAAATTATAGGGAATGTAAAAAAATACACTGAAAGAATAGTGGAAATCAGAAAAGACAACAAAAAAAAGAAGTATTCATTCCAACACATCCCAAACATGAATGTATTAAACCATAGCATCTTTATGTATCAAATCAGGGAAAAGTAACTCGCCACAGGGAATTTTTCTGAATCAAAACCAAATATTGGCTTAGTGAAAGAATAGTATAGAAAAAAATTCAGCACCATTTTTCTTGGCTTTACACGTGCTGTGTTTTACTCAATTACTACTCCAGCTCGCTACCTTCCCAGCTTGCAGGATCTCATACAAGAGTACCTGGCTGTGGCTTGATTAGATTTTTCATTATTCATTTTAATCTAATTATGCTACAAAATTCTCTCTACATCATTCCCAACACTAGGGACATGAGGAAATCCCTTTCCATTTTCACACTAAATGATTAACATTTTACAGACTGTGTCACAGGTTTAGAAATAGGATTTGAATATTTTTTCCAGTAACTGTTGAGGAGGAACTAACTTTTGCTTCAAGCTTTTCCATCTGCTCTCGTTCAATTCTCTCCTTTTCAAGTCTTGCTGCTTCTTCTTGTTGCTCTTGCAATTGGGCTGAAGATTGGGAAATACATCAAGAGCATAATTATATTTTGCTTAATCAAACCAACCAAGATATTTTGTTATCAGGTGTTACAAAAAAACAACCATAATAATAAGCAATAGAAAGTTGTATCTTATACTGCCCAGAATGAGCCAAACTAATTGGAATCATAGTTCTAAAGCCCACTACCTGTGGCACTACCCCTATCAGCCTGTGGCAATGCAAGTGGAGACGAGGATCAGCAACAGCAGTTTCCAAATCTGCCTGTACTCACCTGAGCTGCCACCACCATCTACAAAGGTTACTGGTGATAAGGAGTCTCTCATTGTTTCTAACAGTCGCAGACCCACACCAGGCTGGGTTAATGACAGAAAGGGAGGTAGAAAAGATGGGTCTGATGTTCAGGCAGAGGCACCAGGTTGTGACATCAAACTGCAGAAGCACACACGTTGCAATGGTGACAGGCAAGCCATGCACCTGGCACTTCATTTTAAGGGACACAGTGATGTACAATAACAGAAAGGTCTTGAAGGAGTAGATGGAGAGTTAGTCACTCAGCAGAAACAGAAGAAGCCCAAGCAAACTACTCTTTAATCTATCCTAGCTTGTAGCCACCTCAACTGCTACCCCTTCAGAACACCAGCCAGCCCCCTGCCCACAGAAGTACTGGCCCCCATGAGAAAAGAGGGAGGACTCACCTGTGTTTGTGAAATACAGCTAGATACTGACGCACATCCCCTTTGGGAAATTGTCCATTTATTTAAAATAAGTGATTTGTGCCACTGTGTTGCCTATAAGTGAAGTGCACTGTACCTTCCTCTTTCTGCTTCATCTCTTCTCTCTGTAACCTCAGCTGTTCAGCTTTGTCACCTTTCTTTTTGCCACTGGACTTCAGGTTTGCAATAAATCAAAAGAAGACAAATGTCAATATTATTTTAATACTTTAATATATTTTTGAGTATTTGCCCTCTATAACTTTGCCCCTTTAATGTGATCCCTGAGTTAAGATTTTGACTCCTTACACAGTCAGTGAAGCCTTCAGAATAACAATCCACATCCTGGAATCAATTTTCTTCTCATTTTCATGATGCAATACATGCTCTTACAATTAATATTATTCTATGCTAGATGCTCCTGAACATGGCCAAAACAGGAAGATATTAACACCTCTTGTTTTAGTGTAGGAATGGAATAACAGGTAGATCTGCTAAGAAAGTAGAAACAATTTCAAATGTTTTAGGAAATAGTGGGAAATAGGCAGGTCTGGCATTTGGAAGCATCTACTTCTCAAGACAACTAACAAAGCGTTCTCTTGTCTGTCCTGAAATCCTAACTGCAACTCACCACAGTTAACTGCTTAAGCTCTAGGCCAGTTCTAGAATAAGTATGTTTTAAATTGGGGGTTCTCAGAAAATATCTTCCTTATTGATTCTTTGCAGTCTGGGTATACAAAAAAAAGAGGAAAAAGAAAAAAGAAGAAAGAAAAAAAAGAAAACAGAAAAAAGAAAAAGAAAAAGAAAAAGAAAAAGAAAAAGAAAAAGAAAAAGAAAAAGAATGCACACCAACTACACAAACTCTATGGGTTTTTCCTACATGGAAAAACAGTGCTCATTAGTTGCTCCACAGCATTTCCCAGGTGGACTCTCTTACCCTGTGTTAAAAGGCTAAGCTCAACTGAAAAAAAAAAATAAAATATTTTGGGACCATGGAGTAATAATGTTCTCATCAGGAATAAATGCAGAAAGCTGCTGCTTTGAGGACTGTTAACATTTACACTTCCACGTGGAACTCTCTGCAGGTACAGCTGTCCCAGGCCAGCTACAATACATCTGTGTGAATGCACAGCTTCCACACACAAAGCTGCAGCTGGGAAAGGTGTGCTGAGTGCCAAAAGAAAAAAAGGAAAGGAAAAAAAGAAAGAAGAAAAAAGAAAAAAAAAGAAAACAGAAAAAAAGGAAAAGTAAAAAAAGAAAAAAGAAAAAAAAAGAAAAAAAAAAAGAAGAAAAAAGGAAAAAGAAAAAAAAGAAAAAGGAAGGGTGTAGAGGGGAGAAAGATGGGCCAGGAAGGAAATCAAAACACACTTGTGGAGCTTGTGAAAACAAGGAGACTGATTTTGTACTGAAGTGCAAAACTACCTCACAGCCACAGTTATTAGGAGTGGGCCAGACAAGGCTCTGTGGGTCTGTACCCAGGAGAACCCAACCCAGGCTGTCCTGCAGCAGCTCCAGCACACAGAGGGAGCAGAGGGTGAAAGCAAAGCTGTGGGTGACACTGAGGAGAAGACACGATTTGCATCTGGGGGTGCACCTCTGTGCTGGCTGAACAATGGTGTTCTGCCAGGGACATGCACGAGTGAAAGAGAATTCAATGACATGTTGACTTTTTTGGAACATAGAAGTTATGGAATGTCCACGGGTTCAGAGTGCAGGGCCATATGAACAGAGGGGACACGTCCTCTATCTGCCCTGGGTGTAGCCCATCAGAGAGCTGAAGCCCAAGTACCACCACTGGTGAGAGACAAGGGCTTACCAGGGTGAGTTAAAGTGACCAGAACAGTGTGATTTCCACCCAGTGTCAGCAAGAGACTGTAACTGGATAGTGCCACAGTGTAAATAAGGATCAAAGGCATCTGTTAGGAATCCAGCCCTCCTCCTCTGCAGAGAAAAGGGGACAGGATGGTACCAAACCACCTCAGCAGCATAATGCCCATCTCGCAGAGATGCAAACAAGGCAACAACAGAAAAGGTCCAACAAAGCTGAGAGGGGGAGCCATCAAAAGAGAACTGAAGTCCAGACATCTGCAAAGGAACTCGATGAGAGCATGAAGTCCTCCCACCCACTCCACACGAGTGTTCCTAATAATGTGGCAAATATTGTTGCAAGTAATCCAAGTGACAGGGAAATTACAAATAATCAAGGAGCACCCTTGTCACTCACCACACAAAAAGTGTGTCACACATACTGTTATCTCACATTTTTATTCTGACTAACATATTTCCAGATATAAGTAACCCCCTGGAAAGCTCTTCCCTTAACACCACTTTGCATTTCAGTGAATCTATATGTGAATGTAACTTTGAATACAAAGGTTATCATGCAGCTCTAACAAAAACAACAGTGAAAATTTAGTGCCAGCAACACCCACCAGAGTCAGTGTGCATCTCAGCACATTTGTTACCAAAGCACCTGTTTGCAAACTTTTCCTGGAATAGAGTCAGTAAAAACCACAGCTTTACCCATTAAGATTTCAGGGAAGAATCAGTTTCTTCTAGTTCAAAAAATAAAATTTAAAAAAAAAAAAAAGCCTCTTATTACATTTTATCCCGGGAAAATGGAAAATATACTTGTTTCAATTACTTATAATCACTATTTTGTCAACTTCTCTTCACATTCTCAGGACTTAACATAGTATTGACAAGACTAAGGTGCACAGTTCCCCAAGGAATACATTTGAACACTTTTTTGGGGGGTGGAGTGGGATTCAGTTTCATTATCACTGAATGAAGGTTAATCCACGGGATGAATTTATGCAATCCAGTTTCCCCTAGGCTGCTGACTGTTGTCCCCCTGCCCAGCACCACGTTCCACAACACCAGAAAAGTGCTTGCACACTAGATGAGGGTCGAAGTGAAGCAGAGCTCGTTTCTGCCAGGCTTACCTTCTTTTTCTTTTTTGGAGCCTAGAAGAACAGGGGGGAGAAGAAAAAGGAAAGTGAGTGTGAGTGAACAGGGTATGGAGTACAGGGGAATAAACAGAAGATACAATTATGTAGAATGAGGTGAGATCAACTACCAAAACACTGTCAATGATCATTTCAACCCTGCAGAACCAGCCGCTCACACATGACCCCAGGGCACCAGAGCTTATCAGGCTCGGTTACACTTCTGGTTATGGAAGTGCAGCTCCATACTCCCTCTGCTAAAAAAAATGAGTTACCACAAAGATGTAATTAAGCCTAAGATAGAATTGAGTCAAAAACGTTTTCAGCGTTTCCTGCAGTGACCGGCGGCGCTTTGTTCCCGCTGGAACAACACCCTGCGGTGACGCGGGGAGCGCGGGGACGGCAGCGGGTGTCCGGCCTTCGGGGGGGACCGCACGTGGGCGGAGAGGCGCGGCTGGGGCGCTGCCCGAAGC